CGCCCGGCTAGTTTTTTGTATTTTTTAGTAGAGACGGGGTTTCACCGTGTTAGCAAGGATGGTCTTGATCTTCTGACCTCGTGATCCACCCGTCTCAGCCTCCCAAAGTGCTGGGATTACAGGCTTGAGCCACCATACCCGGCCGTCACATTATTATTATTACTTTAATAATTTCAACTTTTAGGCCGGGCTGTATTCCCAGCACTTTGGGAGGCCGAGGTGGGTGGATCACTTGATGTCAGGAGTTCGAGACCAGCCTGGCCAACATAGGGAAACCCCATCTCTACTAAAAATAGAAACATTAGCTGGGCATGGTGGCGGGCACCTGTAATCCCAGCTACTTAGGAGGCTGAGGCAGGAGAATCGCTTGGACATGGGAGGCGGAGGCCGCAGTGAGCCGAGATCTCACCACTGCACTCCAATCTGGGTGACAGTGAGACTGTGTCTCAAAAACAATAATAATTTTAACTTTATTTTAGATTCTGGGGGTACATGTGCAGGTTTGTTACAAAGGGATATTGCATGATGCTGAGATTTGGGGTACAATTGATCTCATCACCCAGGTAGTGAGCATAGCACCCAATAAGTAGTTTTTCAACCTCTCCTTTTCCCCTCTCTCCCTGCTTTTGGAGGCCTTGGTGTCTGTCATTCCCATCTTTATGTCCATGAGCACCCAACGTTTAGCTCCCCTTTTAAGTGAGAACATTTGATATTTGGTTTTCTGTTTCTATGTTAATTTGCATAGGATAATGACCTCCAGCTACTTCCATGTTGCCGCAAAGGACATGATTTGGTTCTTTTTTATGGCTGCATAATATTCCATGGTGTGCACGTAGCACATTTTCTTTATCCATTCTACCGTTGATGGGCACCTGGGTTCAATCTATGTCTTTGCCATTGTGAATAGTGCTGCAGTGAACAGACGCGTCTCTCACTTTACTAAGGGAAGTTGACTTTTTGAACTCAAAGGATGGACGTGTGGGACATTTCTCTTCCTCGCAAGTGTCTGTGTTTTTGGCTGCTGAGAGAGGCATCTGGGCTCCTGTTCCCATTGCTCCCTGCGTTGCAGGGTGACCAACCATCCTAGGTGGCCCGGGACTGAGGGGTTTCCCAGGAGATGGAACTTTCTGTGCTAAACCCAGGAATGTCGAGTTGGGCCCGGTTGGCTGTGTGTCAGCTCTGCATGTGAGCAGCTGGTCTGTTCCCTGAATCCCTGTGAATGTGGGAAGCGTGGTCTTCCTGCCACATGGTGACAGCAAGGACACCAGCAAAGTTGGAGACAGACAACCTTCTTCCCCCCGTGCACTGGCTGAGGCCTGGGGCAAGTGCCTTTCTCGTCTCTAAAACAGAGTGATGCTAGAGGAAGGACAGTAGCTCATGCGGGCCAATGCTGCCATCAGAATTTTTACTTTTTTTTTTTCAATGGAGTGTTGCTGTGTTGCCCAGGCTGGAGTGCAATGGCGCCATCTCGGCTCACTGCAACCTCAGCCTCCTGGGTTCCAGCGATTCTCCTGCCTCAGCCTCCCAAGTAACTGGGATTACAGGCACGCACGCTACCACGTCCAGCTAATTTTCGTATTTTTAGTAGTGTTGGGGTTTCATCATGTTGTCCAGGCTGGTCTCAAACTCCTGAGCTCAAGTGATCTGCCCACTTCACCCTCTCAAAGTGCTAGGATTACAGCCATGAGCCACTGTGCCCAGCCATGCTATCAGAATTTTTATTTTTTATTTAAAAGACAGGGTCTTGCTCTGTCACCCAGGCTGGAGTGCAGTGTTGCCGTCATAGCTCAGTACAGCCTCGAGCTCCTTGTCTCAAGCAGTCCTCCCGCCTCGGCCTCCCATAGTGCCGGGACTATAAGCGTGAGCCACTGTACCCGGCCTCTGCCTTCGTTTTCTGTTCAGAACCATTCCCACTTTACAAATGAAAAATCTCAAGGTTTCAGGACTCACCCGAGGTGGTCCTAGCACACCTGGGCCTGGGTCTCATCTTCCCCCGCTGCATTCTTGCTCCAGGCACGTGGAACCTGCCTCTCCCTCCATCTGAGGCCCTGGGCATTTGCCGGGAGTAGGCGTCTCTCTCCATGCTCCCCAAGTCCGCCCACCGGGCTGTGGCTCGGGACAGCAGGTCCTACAAGCCTGGATGACCGAGACAAGGAACCGGGGATGGCCCACAGCCCAGCCCTTCTTCCCTCTCTCTGTCCCTCCCTCCTGGAGTCCCTGGTTTCTTCCTAAATGGATTAGAGCCTTTACTGGAAGGAGCCGGCCGCTGTCTGGGGCAGCCGGGAGCCCAGGGCTGGATGGCTGTCTGGTGGCTCCTGCTTTGCCCTGATTCGATTTGGGCCTCAGCAGCTGGGAGGCTGGCAGCCCTAAGGCCTTTGTGGGAATAGTTCAAGGGACCGGCTGGCAGGGGGTGGCTGGGGGGAGGGGGACACCTTCCAGCCCCCAGGCAGCAGACCTCTCAGCTGGATCTTTTACGAAGTCCGGTCACATGCAAGACCCTCCTGCAGGCTTCCTGCCATGGAATATCCCCCGTCTTGGCCACTGGCCACCCCTTGGTTCATCAGTGGGTCTCATCCATGGCCTGTGTCTCATCCATGGCCTGTCACCGCCTCTGCATCCCTTAATACAGCGGATTTCAAAGTTCTATAAAATTGGAACCCAGAAGAAGAAATGTCTTTTCTAAACATTTAGCAGCAAACTCAACATACATTTTGGCCAAACGCCTACCGGCCAGTTGTTTAAATCAATATTTATCCGCAGCCAAAAAGCAGAGGAGAGCCAGAACCGAGGCCAGAGCTGAGCTCTGATGTGTCTCTCATTTCTCAGGACGTTTCTGTCCCTGAGGCTGGACACCTCTGGCCTAGTGAAGTGTGATGCACTCTGACATCTCCTGTTCTCTGTCACTGGCCAATGATCATACATCACGACCTACTGCAAGGCCTGTCTGTGGCTGGGACCACACACCTTGGGCCTCATGTACATCGGGCACTGATTGAGGCCCTGGGGTGTGACAGTGGCAGGCAGGCCTGGTTTCTGCCCTCAAAGAGCTTACAGTTGGCAGGGGCACCCATGGCAGCAGAAGACACCCCAGGCCTGGTGCCCTTTGTGGCGCCAGCCCCGCGGTCCTCCTGCCTGGGCCTTCCCTACCCCACTGGGTGCAGAAACTCCTTGTCTGCAGGTAGGAGGCAGCAGGTTTACAGGCTCCTTTGGGTCCTGCAGCCCTGCTGTCTGCCGTCAACACCCAGCAGGGGCCACACAGAAAGCACTGGGACTGAGCCCAGAGAGGGGAACCGAGAGGCCTCTGCCTCTGGTCTCTGCCTTCTTTGCTTGGATTGGTGCAGGGACAGCTGCCTTGAGGGCAGGCCCAGGCCCTGGGGCAGGCTGTGGGTGCCCCCCGGGTCAAGAAGGAGAGGGGCAGGGTAGAACCAGGGGCTGAGGGAGGCTCATCTTTGTGTCTCATGGGTGCCCAGCTGGGCACTGTCGTACCCAGCAAGCCTGTGCCATGCCACGGGGACCCACAATTGGGGGTTCTGGACTTGAGGGGGAGGATGCAGCTCTGTCCCCCAGGAATCCCACTGCAACGGGACACAGTCCTGTCCTGGGGAGCCCCCGACCTGAGACAAAGCAGCCTCGGCCCTGCTGTATCTTTCTATACTCCTGAAGCCAAGTCTCCTGGCTAGGAGGGAAACTGAGGCAGGAAGGCCTCGGTGGGGGTGGCATTGGCCTCAGAAGCACGTGGCTTGATGCAGAAATGTGACGGCAGAGCTCAGAGGTGTGCGGAACAGAGGGGAGGACATCACCGGCTTCTGACCCTGCTGGGCTTCAGGTTGAGGGTACAGGAGGTGGGCCAGCAGGTTGGACAATTAAAAGCTTTGATGAGACTGGGTGAGGTGGCTCATGCCTGTACTTTCAACACTTTGGGAGGCTGAGGAGGGCAGGTCACCTGAGGCCAGGAGTTCAAGACCAGCCTGGCCAACATGGTGAAACCCCATCTCTACTAAAAATACAAAAGTTAGCCAGATGTATGGTGGCACCTGTAATCCCAGCTACCCGGGAGGCTGAGGCAGGAGAATCACTCAAACCCAGGAAGGGGAGGTTGCAGTGAGCCAATATTGTACCACTGCACTGCAGCCTGGGCAACAGAGCGAGACGCTGTCTCGAAATAAAATTAAATTTAAAATTAAAAAAAGCTTCGAGGACAACCAGCAGATGATGGCAGGGCCAGGAAGGGTGCTTGAGGCAGGGGGAACTGAACCCTCATGGACTAGGGGATCATGAATGTCGGTCCATCTGGGAGTGGCACAGCTTAGAGGACCTGGAGCATGGAGTGTGAGGGGGATCTGGAGTGGGGGACAGGAGACCAGGTAACTAGAATACCAGACTGAGGAGTTGAGAGCTAATGTGGGCAGTAGGGAGCCATGGAGGGTGTGTGAGCGAGGGAGGGCTGTGGCCAGAACTGCCCACGTTGGGAGAGGTGGCAGTTGGGGCCTGCCCAACAGACTGGTCCTGGTGCTGGGCTCAGCTTGTGTGTGCCGACTTCGGAGGGCGTGCCACAGGGTGCGAGTTATCCTGCCACCTGTGCCCAGGCCTGTGCAGGCTCTAATCCCATCACACATAAAGCCCTTGGGCCCAAGGAAGGTCGGCCCTGGATACAGAGGCAGCCGTGGGAGTCCGGGGGTCAGGTGGATTGGGGCGGGCGGGCGCCACATGAGCCAAGCCCTCTGCCTTGTGCCCACCACCACTGCCTCCTCCCTCCCCACAGGCGACCATGGCCTTGCTGGGCAAGCGCTGTGACGTCCCCGCCAACGGCTGTGGACCTGACCGCTGGAACTCTGCCTTCACCCGCAAAGACGAGATCATCACCAGCCTCGTGTCTGCCTTAGACTCCATGGTGAGTGTCCCCACCCACCCAGGAGGAGGGGACAGGGTGAGCGTCCCCGCCTGCCTTGTAGCTCAAATCCTACCTCAGCCACTCGAAGGAGAATTCACTGACCTGAGCCTCAGTTTATCTGACTGCAGCTAGGGCCACGACACCTGCGTCAAGGGTGGGAGACTTCAGTGAGATCCAGTACATAAAAATCTAGCCCTGGGGCCGGGCGCGGTGGCTCACGCCTGTAATCCTAGCACTTTGGGAGGCTGAGGCGGGCAGATCACGAGGTCAGGGGTTCGAGACCAGCCTGGCCAATATGGTGAAACCTCATCTCTACTAAAGATACAAAAAATTAACTGGGTGTAGTGGTGGGTGCCTGTAATCCCAGCTACTCAGGAGGCTGAGGCAGGAGAACTGCTTGAACCTGGGAGGTGGAGGTTGCAGTGAGCCGAGGTCGCGCCATTGCACTCCAGCCTGGGTGACAGGGCAAGACTCCGTCTCAGAAAAAAAA